CCCTACCCCTACCCCAACCCAAATCCTAACCCTACCCCTACCCCAACCCAAATCCTAACCGTAACTCTTACCCTAACGCTAACCCTACCCCCAACACTTAACCCTAATCTTAACCCCAACCCCAGCCCTCACCCTAACCCTAACCTTAACTGTTTCCTCAATGGCTTAATTGGGAGAGTTGGTGGTAACATTCACATCATCTGAGTTAGAAAAGTGTGGTTTCAAAATGCAGTTCAGAAACTCGAAGTATAGAATCTGAGTTGACAGACCAAGTGCAGTTCAGAGAGTGCTGCACGGTCAGAGCAGCTGTCTCTGAGCACTGACATGATGAAAAGCACGATGTAAATTCACATCCTTTCTCACCTTGATTTCAGGAGTTGGATTCAGTCAGATCTGAAGCAGGAAAACCATTAACACATTAACTGATTGGTACGAGGTGCCAAGATGGGGAAGCACTTGGCCTTAGTCCAATCCTAATTGGAGTGACCATGTGGATCAGCCCCGCAACTACAGGAGCACCATGAGGCTGGATCCTGAACTCCTGAGCCTGGCTAACTCTCCCAATCACACAGACACAGACACACACACTCACCAAAAAAATCCCATTGTTAGGGCCTCAGGTGGAGAATTGGGCCCAGTTTCGTGCCCCACTCTTTAAAAAAATGTGGAGGCCGTAGGGAGGGTGCAAGCAGAATGAAGATCTTCATGTAAATGGATGGATTGGAGAAGGTTGGAATGCTTCCTTAGAGGAGAGAAAGTTGAGAGGACTGTTCCAGATCATGAGGGTTTTAGACAGAGTAAATAGGGGATAAACTATCCTCATTGGTAGCAAGACTGTGAACCAGGGAACAAAGATTATTGCGCTTGGCAAAAAAGCAAGCAGTAGAGACACGAGGAGAGACATCTTCATGTAGCGAGTGGTTAGAATCTAGAAGGAGCTACCTGTGAGTGTGATGGAGGCAGTCTAATCATGCCTTTCAAGAGGGAATTGGATTATTACCTGAAGAGCAAGAATGTTCAGAGTTATGAAGAAAAGTCAGAGACTGGCGTTGCTCATTTGGAGAGCTACTGCAGACAGGTTGGGCAGAATGGCCTGTTTCTGTGCTCTAACAATTCTGTGATTAATGTAAACAAATAGCAAACTTCAGTTGGATTTTCCCAACTTGGCTTTTTTGAGGTCAGGTATTTCTGACTGTGCTTTCATTCCCTTGTCACAGGTGAAGGGAGGGAATCTAATTGAAGTGTTTAAAATGATCACTGGAATTTTATTGTGTCAATAAAAAGAATTTATTTCCTGTGGGGGGAGGGGGTGGAGGGCAGATTGAAAGGGGAAGGACCTTAAACTTCAAGGCAGGGTGTTCAGGAGTGATGTCAGGGTGCATTTGTTCACACCTTAGGGAGTGACAATTTAAACCCTCTCCCTAAATAGCTGTTGAGACATGAGAATGGGGGAAGGGTCAATGGGAATTTCAAAACTTCAGACTGATAACTCCTTATTAGATGAGGGTAAGAATTAAGGACAGTAAATGAAATTCCAATAAAGATGATTATAACAGAATGGGAGAACAGACTCAGGGACTGAACTCCAAAGCTCTTTAGAGGTTTGAGGTCCACACCAATTCATTTACATCCTGACCCAAGGTACAGCAATGTGTACAGGCTCAATACAGGATTAGGATTAGGGTTGTAATCTCTCCTCACTTCCTCATCCCCACTGGTAACATCCTTTGAGCGAGAGCAGATGACAAACCGATGGTCCCTGCAGAGTGCCCCCTTTGTCCTATCCTGTTGAATTCAAGCCTGGATTTGAGCTTTGGGATCACCTGCCACTGACTTGGGCTGCTTTCCTTCCATTTACTACACGACAGTTTCAAGGATCCTCACCCTGCTGACCTTGCGCCCTGGCTTTAATCTGTTGATGATGCACTGTTCAAATAACAACATAAGAAATGGCATCGCTCAGCCCATCCGCCATTCACTGAGATCATGGCTGATCTGATCATGATCAACTCAACTTTCCTGCCTTTTACCCATAACCATGGATTCCCTTTCTCAACAAAAATCCCTTCATCACAGCCTTGAATATACTTAATGACCCAGCCCCAACAGCCCTCTGTGGTAAAGAGCTCCACAGATTCACTCCTCTCTGAGAGAAGAAATTCCTCCTCATCTCTGTCTGAAATGGGAGATACCTTATTCTGAGATGATGCCGTCTGTTCCTAGACTCTCCCACAAGGGGAAACAACCTCTCTACATCTACCCTGTCAAGTTCTCTAAGAGTCTACAATGTTTCCATAAGGTCACCTATCAATTCTTGTAAATATTTTTTATTTGTTCATGGGTTGTGAGTATCACCATTTATTGCTCATCCAAAAGTACCCAGAGGGCAACCTGGAGTCAGCCACATTGCAGTGGGTCTGGAGTCACGTGTAGGCCAGATTGGGTAAGGATGACAGATTTCCTTCCTTGAAGGGCATTCCTGAACCAGATGAGTTTTTACAACAATTGGCAGTGGTTGCCATGAGACAAAGCTTTTTAATTACAAATTTTCATTGAATTCAAATTTCACCATCTGCCACAGTGGAATTTGAACCTACGTCCTCAGAATGTTGGCCTGGAGTTCTGGATTACTAGGCCAGTGACATTACCATTGCAGCTTCACAAATATTCCGATGAGTACAAGCCTAACCTACTCAACCTCTCCTGATAAGACTCTCCTCCATACCCGGGATCAGCCGAGTGAATCTCCTCTGAACTGCCTCCAATTCTAACTTTCCTCAGATAAGGGTATGATGTGCATTCACATGGCAGTCCACTGTGTACTATTTATTGGAGGTATACACACCCATTAGGAATTGACAGGATGTACAGTAGATGTGTTGTTCTAATGCCTGTTATTGACAGTGGTTATTGTTCTGCTGGATGTCTGCTACAACTTCACCGTTTCCTGTTCTTGTTGTAGCCGACCAGTCCAAACCGTGGCTGGGTTGTACCACCCTTTGGCGGTAACCCTTGGTGGGTATGCCTAGCGTCTGGGCTCCCAGCTCTGCTCATCACCATCCTGATCTTCATGGACCAACAAGTTACTGCAGTGATCGTCAACAGGAAGGAGCACAAACTCAAGGTCAGCATCAAGTGCTTATTGGAAATGTGCTGGTGAGTCAGGCCATTCAGCGCATCATGCTCCCTTGAATGGTTTAGCCAGTTCATCACACTCTTCCCCCAAAAGTCTGGCAATATTTTTCCTTTTCACCCTTTGAAAGTTATCATCGAATTTGCTTCCTCTGCTCTTTCAGGCAGCGGTTTGTGGATTGCAACAACTCACTGCATTTCATAAACTCTCACCTCATCCTCAGGTTATTGTGCAATAACTATAAACCTGTAGCATCTGGATTTCAACTTTCCCACCAGTGGAAACTGTTTCTCCTTACTCACTTGATCTCTATCTCCCCCATGACTTTCTCCACTCTAAGGAGAACAATCCCAGCCTCAGCAGCCTCTCTGCTTCCCTGAAAAGCCCAATCTCCTGTGCACCCTCTCCTTGGAGAGGTGCAGCTTCAGGCAGGAGATCCTACACTCCACAGAAAAGAGACCAGTTTGGTGAATGGTCAGCGATGAGAGAAGTGAATCAGGCACATGTACCTCAGCTGATTGTTTCTGTTTCAACCTCCTGCTTCTGCGCCAACAGTGGTTATGTGAACTTGCCACATCTCTAACCTGTATGCTGTCTCACTCCACACGCACACACAATTATTTGTTGTAAGCTGATTTCTCAGTTTTTTTAAATCACTCAGTCTGAGATTGGTGAAACTTTAAGTAGTCATTAGCCACACAGTAAAAGACACTGACACTCCGCTCTAGCCCGACACTCCCTCTGGTCTCAATGCTCCTTTAATCCTGGATTCTGGTCCACTCCAGATTTTAATCATCCCACCAATGGTGGCTGTGCTTTCAGCTGCCTGCATCCTAAACTCTGGAATGCCCTCTCCAGCCTCTCCAGCTCTGTTTCCTCCTCTAAGACTTTCTTAAAACCCATCTCTTTGACTGACCATTCAATCACCTGCCTTTATATCATCCAGTTGCCTGTCACTTCTACACACTGCTCCATGGCCAGTATCTCTGCCTCAGGTCTGCAGCAGTGTTCCAGTGAAGCTCAGCTTGGGAACTCTACAACCTTCTGGACTCAATATTGAGCTCAACGATTTTCGTGCTTGTACTCTCCAATGTCCTTACTCCAACCCCCACACACCAGGCCTTGTTATCAGATGGGCTGCCATTATCACTAACAGTCTCCATTAACAGCTATTCACCCTCCTAGACAGATCTTTATCCACTCCTTTGTCTGTCTAACTGCGCTTCTCTTTGCTTGAGACCTATCTCCACCTGTCGTTTACTCTTCACCTCTCCCCGCCACACTACCTTCTGCATAAATTTTTCTAGCTACCCTCAGTTCTGAGCAAAGGACATTGGACCTGAAACGTTAACTCTGATTTCTCTTCACAGACGCTGCCAGACCTGCTGAGCTTTTCCATCAACTTCTGTTTTTGTTTATATGTAGTTCAGTGTCACAGCTAGTTTGGGAACGCTCCTGTTAGAAGCACTTTGGGATACTGAGCTGCACTGGTAGGAACTTAATGAGTCCACAAGGGGGTTGTCCGTTAGAGATACACAATTGGTTATGCTGCTTATGAGGTCCCACTTCGCCTCAAGTGTGGGCAGGACAGAATCAGGGAGCAGGTCCCAAGTCTACTCCAACCACAGCAGGAATTGAACCTGTGCAGTTGGCATTATTCTGAGCCACGTGCTAGCTTCACAGCAGAGCAGCCCCTGGCCTGTATTGATACTTCTCCAAAGCCAGCAAAAGTAGAAACAATATTTTTGTGATAACAAGGTGTAGAGCTGGATGAACACAGCAGGCCAAGCAGCATCAGAGGAGCAGGAAAGCTGATGTTTCGGGTCTGGACCCTTCTTCAGAAACAATATTTTTGTGTTTGAGAGATAGTAGGAACTGCAGATGCTGGAGAATCTGAGATAACAAGGCGTAGAGGTGGATGAAGACAGCAGGCCAAGCAGCATCAGAGGAGCAGGAAGGCTGACGTTTCGGGCCTAGACCCTTCTTCAGAAATGGGGGAGGGGAAGGGGGTTCTGAAATAAATAGGGAGAGAGGGGGAGGCGGATAGAAGATGGATAGAGGAGAAGATAGGTGGAGAGGAGACAGACAGGTCAAAGAGGCGGGGATGGAGCCAGTAAAGGTGAGTGTAGGTGGGGAGGTAGGGAGGAGATAGGTCAGTCCAGGGAGGACAGACAGGTCAAGGGGGCGGGATGAGGTTAGTAGTAGGAGATGGGGGTGGGGCTTGAGATGGGAGGAGGGGATAGGTGGGAGGAAGGACAGGTTAGGGAGGCAGGGACGAGCTGGGCTGGTTTTGGGATGTGGTAGGAGGAGGGGAGATTTTGAAGCTTGTGAAATCCACATTGATACCATTGGGCTGCAGGGTTCCCAAGCGGAATATGAGTTGCTGTTCCTGCAACCTTCGGGTAGCATCGTTGTGGCACTGCAGGAGGCCCAGGATGGACATGTCATTGGCAGAACGGGAGGGGGAGTTGAAATGGTTCGCGACTGGGAGGTGCAGTTGTTTATTGCGAACCGAGCGTAGGTGTTCTGCAAAGCGGTCCCCAAGCCTCCGTTTGGTTTCCCTGATGTAGAGGAGGCCACAACGGGAACAGCGGATACAGTATACCACATTAGCAGATGTGCAGGTGAACATCTGCTTGATGTGGAAAGTCTTCTTGGGGCCTGGGATGGGGGTGAGGGAGGAGGTGTGGGGGCAGGTGTAGCACTTGCTGCGGTTGCAGGGAAAAGTGCCGGGTGTGGTGGAGCTGGAGGGGAGTGTGGAGCAGACAAGGGAGTCACGGAGAGAGTTGTCCCTCCGGAAAGCAGATAAAGGTGGGGAGGGAAAGATGTCCTTGGTGGTGGGGTCGGATTGCAGATGGCGGAAGTGTCGGAGGATTATGCGTTGGATCCGGAGGTTGGTGGGGTCGTATGTGAGGACGAGGGTGTTCTGAATGTCGACATTGTCACGGTTGGGGCCAAACTGGGAAGGTGTCCTCACGTACCACCCCACCAACCTCCGGATCCACAAAGGTGGAGCGATGTTAGAGCAATGACCTTGCAGCACAAACACGGTCCCTGGTTATTACTGAATTAACTTTCGGAGTTTCCTCAGCACACCCCTCCTCCTCCTGTTCTTCCTCCTCCCCGCACCCTGCCCCCCCCCACCCCACCCCTAATTCCTTATGTGGAACAATGCTTCCTCAATGATTGTCTCTGTTAAACACATTGCCAGTTTAAATTACTTCGGTCTTTTGTACTAATCTGTGAATTAATCAGGGAGGGGTCTGTGTATCTAGGGGCAACAACAACACTTAAAATGAGGTAAATGAAGGAGAATATAGAGTCTAAAGGTTCAAAAACAAGCCAGAATATAATAAAACAAAATTACAATCAGAAAATGTTGAAAATCTTGCTCCATTCTTCATTAATCATGCGTCAGAAGTGAGTGCTTCTGTTAGACCTGCTTCCCTTATAAAACATTGACCTTTCTGCTTCGTTTTCCCATCCTGTTAACTTGCTTCTTTAAAACTATTTCAATTTAAATTTCTATTCTACGCTGCATCAGTGTTTGGGATTTTCAGCTTCACTGGTCCCAGGGGAGAGATTGAGTTACCAGCCTGTTTCACATCCCTCCTGACAACAACAACTCGCATTTACATTGCCTCTTATCACAGTAAAATGTCCCCAGATGCTTCACAGGGCTAATAACAAACAAAATATTGTCACTGAGTCACTTAAAGAGACATTAGGACAGACCACCAGAAATTCAGTTTCAAGGAGCCTCTTAAAGGAGAACAGGGAATCCCTACAGTGTGGAAACAGGCCATTCAACCCACACTAACACCCAAAGCACATCCCACCCAGACCCAACCCTCTACCCTACATTTCTCAAGGCTAATACTCCAAACCTGCACATCCCCAGACACTATGGGCAATTTAACATTACCAATCCACCTAACCTGCACATCTCCAGTCTATGGAAGGAAACCCACACAGACATGGGGAGAATGTGTAAACTCCACACAGACAGTTGCCTGAGGCTGGAATTGAACCTGGGTCCCTGGTACTGTGAGGCAGCAGTGCTAACCACTGAGCCACTGTGCCACCATCAAAGCCCCATCCTTGAAGTGGTGAAATTTGCAGTGCTACAGGGAGAGAACAGACATCATCACCTCCCCTTCGCCTTTTTGTGGATTACCTTTCACACGTGCTGACATCACTTCATCCACAGCGAAGTTTGTTTTCTTGTGGTGCATACCTTTGGGAGATTGTCATTACAGCCAGTCTCAGCATCCACACCTGTTTCATGGGACTCCTATCTTTGGAGACAAACCTCCCGGTCTGTCCTGGTAAACGTCCCGGTCTGTCCCTGTAAACCTCCCCGTCTGTCCCTGCAAACCTCCCGGTGTGTCCCTGTAAACCTCCCAGTCTGTCCCTGTAAACGTCCCGGTCTGTCCCTGCAAACCTCCCGGTGTGTCCCTGTAAATCTCGATATATGTTTGGCACGGCCCAGGAATGCTATGAGATCATGGGAAATGAAAGAGAACAAAGTCTTCTGCCTAACAAGATGATGGAGTGCCCTATTCGAGTTTCTGGCAGGTATATTTTCAGCTCAAAGAGTGAACTCATTAGTGAGGAGCATGAGGGAAGGTAGGAGCAGGTTCTCTCTCCTGCCCCAATGTACATTTTAGGAGCTGGTTCCATTCTTATTTTTCAAATAAATTGTAGTCCTCAATTATTCACATGCTTACAACTTCCACCTGTCATCCTTTCAGTAAGAGCGGGTGTGGGGTGGAATTTTGGCTGCATGTCCCTTAGTGACTCTCAATACAATCCTCTACTTCACGAGGAAAGGGTAGATAGAGCCTGTTTTTAAGAGATGTGTTGTACTACCTTGGCAAGAGATAAATTCCTGAGGTAGGGATATGAGGCATGGAATCAATAAATGTCTGCCCTTAAAAATTAAAGTCATCATGGGAGTTCAAAGGAAAATACCTGAATTTATTTAGTAT